TCTCTTTTCTCTCTTTTCTCTCTTTTCTCTCTTTTCTCTCTTTTCTCTCTTTTCTCTCTTTTCTCTCTTTTCTCTCTTTTCTCTCTTTTCTCTCTTTTCTCTTTTCAACTGTGCGGGTATCTAGATGCTGGAGCAGGGGCATGGGGTGGCTGCAGACACTCCATCCCCAGAGGTACTCAGAGTTTAACGGGACAAGAGCTTGAGCAGGAGGTTGGAGCAGGGGCGCCCTGGGGGCCCCTCCGAACCCACACGAGTCTCTGAGCATCAGTTCTCAACAGGGAGGCAGCACCACTGAAACCAGGAGGGATTTGGGATGTCTCTCAGCAGACATCCAACAGCAAATGACACATCACAAAACACAGCAGCATTGTTCTATAGTATAAATGCATATTATGCTTGTAACTTAAACACAGTTCAGTTCTGGTTTCCTATCTTAAATGCATAATAAAACTAGAGAGGGTGGACAAGGTTGGGCTTTGGTTGACAAGGAAGCAGCTTCTATGTTAGCTATATCTACCTATACATTCCTAAAGTCTATGAAGTCACAAGGGACATTGAGGAGAACAGTCTCACTGTCTCCCACAGGAAGCAGAGACTTGAAGAGGTGGCAGGTTCAAACCAATGAAATGCAGCGCAACATTTAGATAATCTGCAAAAATGTTTGCCACGGAAAATGGGGGATGCTACAAGTTTACCCAGGTTCAAAAAAAAGTTTGATGAATTCATGGAAGAAAAATCCATCAGAGGTCACTAACCACAATGGTATCACCTATTTCAAGCAGTCCTTGACCACCAGGCAGCTCAGATGACGCCACGTTCCCAATATATTCCCCTAGCTCAAATGTTCTGGCTGTGTTCTGCCCTCGCTCTGCCTGTCTCCCACTGGCATCTGCCGTTGGCCACACTTGGTAGAGGTCCAAAATGGCTATAAAATACCAGCACATTGTCAGGGATTTGCAGGGTTTTGTGAAACCCTTGCAAAAGGGAGTGCAAAATGGAGCACAGTTTTTAACATCAAATAATGTAGCTATGCCTTTTTTTTTTTTTTTTTTTCCCTTGGCCAAAACTGAAAATATGTACTTGATCCTAAGGTTTTGCCTAGAAAATTGTAGTTTAGTTTGTAGAGGAAATACAGAAAAACTTATAGTCTGTATTTAATGGTGAATGCAGGATAGAAATCATCATTTTAAACTGCTTCCTGCATTTAAAACTAAGCCCACTCTATAGCTATTCCTGTAGTGTAAAGCATATCTCTGCATCACTGAATACTATATATAAAATATATATTTTTTTATATATATAGTTATATATATATTTTTTTATATATATATATAAATTTTACTTTTGTACTTCAACATGTTCTTCCAAAGCAAGAGATAGGTTTATATTTGATATTTACATCCCTTATGTCCCTGATCAGCAGCACTGATGAGGAAGACGGGGAATAGCACCCATTTCCCCTTTCTAAAATAAATGCTGGCTGCAGCACAGCGTTCAGGCCCCTCTTTTCAAGCAAAAAGGCAGAATAACAGTCACAGCTGCACCACCCCTTTGAAGATCCATACAGCGTTTCTGGGAATATTTGCGCCGTTGGTGTCGTTGCAGCCTCCTCCTGCAGAGCACACAGCCCTGGGAAGGCTGCGCTCTGCAGCCAGCCTCTCCTCTTGGGCTGGCGATCGCAGCAGCCTCGAGAACATTGTCGCAGGTGAGTTTTTAGATCCTGCAGGCGTTATCGTGGCCCGGGCTAATGCAGCAGCTGGAAGTGCCAGGGAAATTGAGACAATCTCAAGTGAAAAATGGAAGCCCAGATGTGGGGAATGTTGAAACTCGGGGGCTGCTTCGTAGCGAGCGTGCTGAGCACAGACCCGTTCCCCTCCCTTCCTACGTGCAGCAAGCAGGCAGAGCCACTAACAGCTGCAGATCAGAAAACAGCGGGTGATTCCCATATGGCAGAAACATTTCCTCTTGATGAGAYAGCTCTTCTGTGAGAAGCTATGGCCTGTTTTGAAGTAAAGTTTCTGTCTTATGTTCTCGTACAAGTAAGTTTTCGGACACCTGGATGTCCTTTGAAATACTTCCTTGCTGCATAAATCCAGAAAAGATTCCTGTGCATAGTTTTAAGGGAGTTTTTTAATGTCTTTCCAGTAGGTCTTCCATGTGGAGCAAACTGTAATTAGGACATGGGTACCACAAAAAGGTCCTTTCCCAGTGTTCTGGTATTTTGCACAGTCAGCTCTTTCTCTTTAGATTCACTTTCTTTTTATAYAAAAACCACTGAACAAGGCAGGAATTAGTGTTTCAGTTTAAATTTTGAAAATGTTTCCTTATGCTTTATCTATCTTTATSTTATTGCCTACATTAAATGCAGATACAGAGGTTCATCTGTCCCTCTCTGGGGCTGTACAAGCCTGGCCAAGGCCACATCTTGGCATTCGCTGAGGCACCCTTCAGTATTTTATGTAGGTGGAGAACTGACTCTTTCTCATAAGCGACTTGAGCAACATGTTAATGTAAAGCTGATCATGTACGTCCTTCCCGCGTGCGTCACAGACACTCAGCTGCAATCAAAGTCTCGGTGAGAGCATCCCGAAGCTGTTGAGTTTGGAGTCTCAATGCATGTCAGATGTAGCTGTGGCAGACGGGGGAAAAAATTACTCTCCTGGGCTGCCTGTGCCTTCCTTCTGCTGGAGATTAGTGCTGTACACCAGCAGAGAACATCTTTTAGCTCCTTACCCCTTGCAGCTTGCAGCCTGCCGCACTAGTTGAATTTGAAATTGAAAGAAGGAATTTCTACAGCCAGAATAGCTAAGCCTGACAGAAATCGTAAGTCTTGCAGACGCGTGATCTGTCTCTGCGTATCGTTGGCTCACAGTAATATCCAGCATATAAAATTAAAGGATCAAGAGGCATCAAAAGCAGTACACACAGCCAAACAGCAAAGTAATAGAGAATATTACAAGAAAGAAATCACTTTATCCACGCTGTTAACCTGAAACATGGTTCAGTTTCAAGGATCTCCTAGATGACTAAGAGGAAGATAAAAGTAGGAATTTTCAGAGCATTGTGTGTTTGCTGCTTTTGTAAGTGCTAGCTGGGGAAGCTGACAAAACCTATGGCTAATGATGTGTGATTTTTGTAGAATTAATTTAACAGGAAAAGCAGGGTGGCACAGCTGTGCCCGTGTCTTGGTGTGGCAGTGCGAGATCCCCGAGTGGGTGAGGGCGAGGGCAGTGCGGCGTGCGGGAGCGCGGTGCCTTGCTGCTGGGTGGCTGCCGGCGGCCACGCCGGGGAGCTGCCAGATCCGTGGCACCAGGCTGGGCTCTGCCCGCTGCAACCAGCGCCCTCACTTTGGCTCTGCTGCAGTGCAAAGTGAAGAGTCAGTCTTTATCCACGCGCAAGATCTGTGCTTTTCAGCARCCTAAGTGGCCCTTTCTGCTCAGACTGACTTCATCAGCCCCAGGAGCAAGAGGGCAGCGCTTGGTAATCTAAACCCAGCTCCAGGGAGAAGCAGCTGGATGTGACTGCCGAGATGGAAATGACAAAAAATCCCCAGCCTTGGGAGTGTTCGTCTTCCCCTCCTTGCAGTGCAGAGCTCCCTCCAGCTCTTGTTTGCAGGAGCTGATAAAGGATCCGCAGGGCTAGGAGAGGCCTGCTCCTAATCTGAGGTGACAGAAACGCTAAAATACCTCCTTTGTATACAAAATAATGGAGACTGTATTCCCCACTACATTTACTAATTCCACAACAAGGGTATAAATGTAGGGTTTGAGCAGATGTGACTAGAAAATTTGTATGTAGCCACATGAACACCCTTGTTAACGATGAGCGACCCTATCTCCTATCTGTGTTATATTAGTTGTATGGTCCTGGGAGGTGCTAATGGGTTTAGTCTTAGCTTAACTTGATTTTGTTTTGTGCCCTTAGAGTGTGCAAAGCATTCTCATAATAGAAGGTTATGTGAGAAAGAATACTTTGGAGGAAAACRGCTATTTTGAGTGTATTGCATTCACTACTCATCTGTGACATGTAGGCCTTTTAGTGTCTCCTAAAGCAATTATTTTATTGTATAAAGTTACAGAGGACTTCTGAGGTAAGTGCATGCTAAAGCTAGACCTCCAGTTGGTGTTTAGCCATATGAAAACACAGATCATCAATCCCTGGTGTTTCTTTCTGTGGCTAGTGCATCTTAGCATTTCTTTAACGAAAAGTGGAAGTGAAAAATGGAAGCGTTAGTGCAAGTATTAGGACATTTGTATGTTTCAGTAACAGTTAAACTTAATTTTTCCTTAAAACAGGTGTCTTGTCATGAATAAGAGCGCAAGTAAGAGTTCATGTGTATTTACTTGGAAAACAAGCTTAACAAAACTTGGATGTTTACTTGAAGAGCCTGTCTTTCTTTGCTTGTCACCTTGGATTACGGAGAGGCAACTTGGCTAACTTGGGATTTTCCAGTGAAGGCTTCTTTACATGGAATGAGCGTCGCTGTATCTTGGTTCTGAAAAGACTTTTGGTTGGACAGTGTGTGTTCACACAGCTGTTGTCCAACTACAGCCTTAAGAAGTTCCCCTCGAACCTTACATCAGCCACTAAGCAGCTATCAGAGCGTGTTCTTCGTTATGTTTTTTCAGTGCCTGCCTCATAGGCCTGGGCTAGGAGTCCCTCATTTTCCTGAACCTTCCTACACAGATTTTGCTTGACACAGGTCGTTTCTTTGAGACAAGCAGTTGCTCGGTATTATCAAAATACAGTTATTTTCCTGCTTTACAGGCTGAACAGTGCAAGGAGGACCATAAAGGAGGGTTAAGTGCCGAGAAGCTGATGAGGAAAGCGTCCAAGGACGTGTGTCGCCTACGGGAGCAGAGCCAGAAAGTGCCGCTGCAAGTGCAGTCATTCAGGTATGGCCTGGTCTGCTCTGGGGACTGTTTACCGTAGTGGAGTAACAGGAAATATTTCTAACTAGAATTGAGCATACCCTGTGATATTGTTAAGAAAATAAACATTCAGGCTCCAGGAAACATCATTCATTTCTAATACAGCTCAAAGCTGTAGATTCCAAGGGCCAGGTCTCTAGCTTGCGTGTGTGACAAAAGCAGCTGTTTGTCAGCTTGAGTGGTGGAGGGAAAAAGGAGGTGGGAGGAAGGAAAAAAAGCACCTTGTAATACTCTGTTGCATCTCGTATGGGCTAAGCAACTTAACCAGCTGTGCCCATGGCTCAGCTGACCCATGGGAAGCTGCCACTGTGCTTTAAGCAATAGGAACTTTCCAGTGATGCAGGTGCCTGAAGCAGGCCCTCTCCTAAGGAGCAGCTGGGCAATGCACGTTTGATTGGGAAGCTGGTGAAACATCGCTGGGGTCTTGCTCAAGACCGGTGTTTCAGGAGACCAGGGTCTCTCTTTGCCTTTCGGTTGCAGAAGCAGCAGAGAGGACATGAAGTGAGTGGCTTGGTTCTTTCACTTAGCATGAGCCAGAATAAACAGTTTATGTCTCAGATTTCAGTTTTAACTGGAGCTAATTCCTAACAGTCTAGACACAAGTGGCAGACTAGCAGCCTGAGGGCTATGCTTCCCTATATATTAAAAAAAA